ATCATTATCATCATTATTATTGATTGCTATCTGGCACCGCACGCCACAAAGTCATTTGCCCAAAGCCCATGGACCAGACTCGTTTGCCAATTGGCCGGCCAGTGCACGTTTCGCTCGCCAGATGGCGCTGCTGCTGCCCATCAATTTTACGATACAATTGCCGATGAGCCGTTAATTAATAAAAATAGCGCAAAAAAAAAGAAAACACAAGAGTGAGTAAAATGATGCAAAAAGAAAAGCCTCTCCTCCTCATTAATAAATATTAACTCATAATTGGGCACGAATCGCGTATTGAATATGTTGCAATCTTGTGTTCAGTGATTTAACGAAATTTAATAAAAATTTTAACCATGCTCAAGTGCTGCACGCCAGGGCAGGTGCAAAAATCAGCGAGCAAGAAAATAAAATGCATACGGAAACAACCAACTAAAGGAAGGAAAAGCCAATAACAAAGCAAACAACAAACAAAAAATATATATATATAAATTACAACAACAACAAAATATGTTGTAAAAGCCACAAAACCAGCCAGAAACTAATGGAACTAATTGTTCGACGAAAGGCGGCCACATAAATATGCATAGCAGGAGGCGGGGGACTTACGAGAGTAAGAAAGAGAGAGAGAAGGCGAGAGGGAGAGTGAGAATGAGAGCGAACCATTCATTGTTTAGCCGAAAGTGAAATGCCAATGCCAAGCGCATGCCGCCGCTGCGCTCCATAATTGGAGCAACTGCAGCGCTTGCCACGAGATCGTGTGAAGTGTATAAAATCATGTGCCTGGCGCGCAGGCGCCGGCAGTCAATAGTGGCGATCGCAAGGCAACTGACAGCAATTGCCAGCCTACAGCGAATAGAGCAGCTCCAACTTGGAATACCTGAGCACAGACCCAACTAGTCGCGACATGAGGAAGCATTGCGTAAGTAAGCCAGAAATCCATTCAATGCAAATGCCATTCAAGCGCCGCCCTGGCTTACAGATCTACGGATGCTGCATTTTGCTGCTGCTGCTGCAGCTGGTGAGCGGCGAGCAACAGGCGGAAGATCACAGGTAAGTGAAGTGACCAGGAAGTGATTTTAAAGTATAGAAAATAAAGTGAGAAATATTGCTGCGGCTGGCCAAGGTTTTTAAGAAGAAAATGTAGCCTGATTCAATATTAATGCAAATAAAAAATTAAATGCAAATTTGAACAATAAATTCACTGACATAAACTGAATAAAAAATTAAAGTTTAAGTTAAAGTTCATATTAAAATATAAAATTCAATGTTTATTAAGGAAAAACTCAAATTTAAATTTAAATTGGAAAAATAATAAAAATATTTTAAAAATAAAAAAAAAACAATTTAAATTTAGTTAAATAAAAAAATTAAATCAACAAAATATTCATTCAATTTAAATTTGAAAAAAAAACATATATTTAAATATACAAATTTTAAATTTGAATACAAATTTATACCTAGATATAAAACTCAGTGTTGATTTTAAAAATCAAATTTTAATAATAAATTCAATAATATAATAATAATAACAATAATAAAAAATAATACTAATAATAAATAATATTAATAATAAATAATAATTAATAATAATAAATATAACGTAGTCTCAAATTTAAAATTCATAAATTTAAATTACAATTTTAAATTTCAATAAAAATGACAAATTTTAATGAAATAGGTAAGCTTGTGAACAAAACTTTAGTTTAAGCAAATAAAGAAGTTAATCAACACAATAATTTCACACAGAGCGAACAAATCAAAAAAGTTTCCCAAACGAATTGACGCAGAAAAAGCAAACTCAGATAATTTATAAATAAATAAATAAATAAATGCCAAGCACAGAGATAGGGCAAGATGAGAAAGGAGAGAAAATGGTGAGAGCAAACATGGAAAATGTATCAATTATTACACGAAGAAAAACAAAATAAAATAAACCTAAGGAAATTAATAATCAAAACTCTAACCATGCCTCCCTTTTATTTGCAGAATTCAAAGACGTTTCATGTGGCAGCAAATGGACATGGGCGGCCTTATGGGCCGCATGTTCGGCGGGGCACGGATAATGAGATCCATGTTCGGTGACTTTATGCCCAGCACAGCGAGCTATAGCAAGAACATGATGGACTATATGCCAACGGAGACGACGCGCGTCAAGTACATCATACGAGATCCGCATACGAACAAGCCGGTGAAGATAATCAAGATGCGTGGCTCAGCGAAGAAGGTGGTGAAGCTGATAAGGCCACTGCCCAAGCCACAGCCACTGGTCACAGAGTCGACGAAGCTGCAGTACGAGAATCGCATGCGGCAGCTGGAGAAGGAGCAGGAGCTGATTGCTGAGGGCAAGGCGCCCGCTAGCAGCGATGAGGCACTCATGGATAAATACTTTAAGCACAAGCCGCGCACCAACAGCAACGAGATTGTCTCTGGCAAGATTATGGAATACCAGAGCTGGAAGCCGGTCTACAAGTCGGGTGAGCAGCCCACGTCCTATGTCACGCTGCGTCCCCAGGCCATGACACAGCTGCACACACAAATTACGTCGAGCCGCGACAACAAGGACTATCCGCCTCCTGGCGAAATGCTGCCCAAGCCCGAGAAACTGGTGGGCCGACGTCCAGAGCTGGACGAGGAGGACGACGACTTCGAGCAAGTCGATGACGACAATGAAAATGAGCTAGCCAAGCCGCCGAGCGGCCATCAATACGAGGTGACCGAGCACACGGGCGAGGCCAGCGGCGAGGTGCAATCGCTGGCCCCCATGGAGGGCGGCTTTGTGCCCTCCAAGCAGTATCACAGCCAGCCAAGCGAGCAGGCCAACAGCCAGCCAAGCAGTCACTCCGGCAGTCACTCGAGCAGTCACTCCAACAGCCCGCCCGACAGCCATGCCAATGGCCAGCACAGCCACAGCGGCAGCCACGCGCACCGTCCGCGTAGTCGTGGCAATAGCCTTGCACCACCGACTACCACAACCACCGAGGTGCCCAATTATCCGCCAGCGTTTCTGAAAAAGTATCGCGAACGCGAGGCCGCCGCAGCCAACGCAAAGCCCAGCAGCAGCAGCAGCGGCAGCAGCAGCAGTAAATCCCGACCTAAGCACCACAAAGAGCTGATCCTCGTCGAGCCGCAGAACAGCCAAGCCCAATCCAATATTAGCTTTGCGATGAGCAGCCTACGCGCACGCCTCCAGGAGCAGCAGCGTCAGACAAATCAGGAGGAGCGCGACGCCGAGATGGAGGCGGCCCTGGTGGACGCCATGCACGGGGACAAATGGCCAGCGCAGGTGCAGCACGGCGGCAGCTATCTGACCAGTCCCATTGGACCCAGTGCGGTGGCCTTCGACCAGGCCGTGCAGCCCTCAAAGAAGCAGCGCAGCGAGTACAAAAGACAGCGGGCCAATCTGCGACAGCGCGGATCCGTCAAGTTTAGCGATAATCCCATCGAGGAGGTGTAGCCCAGGAGCAAGCGAAGCAAGCGGAGCAGTAACCAAAGCATAGCCAAAGCGTCAGTTAAGCGTTTTAATTGCCTAGCTGTTAACATAGTTTTTAAAAGGCCTAAGTAAAAGCAAGAGTTTAATACACCCACACACACACACACACACACACACACACACACATACTTGGCGCAACAAAACAATTTCATTTGGGGCTGAGCGAAGTCATTGGACCGAGCGCACGCAACGCAAATGCAACTTCATTATCGTGTTGCTGTTCGTTATGCCGAATGCACTTTAATTATTGTAAAATATCCCAAGCTCTTTCCCGCCCCTGCAAGTCGTTGGCACTTAGCACATTCCTTCGTTTCATTTGACAACCAATTTAAAGCTTTGAACTGCCTTCAAGTTGACCCCAAAAAAA